GATGCGTGTGTTTAAAAACGACGTGCGTGTTTTTAAAAATGGCGTGTGTTTAAACGACGTGCGTGTTATAAAATGACGTGTGTGTTTTTAAAAATCGCGTGTGTTTAAAAGTGATGTGTGTGTTTAAAAACGACGTGTGTGTTTTTAAAAATGGCGTGTGTTTAAAAATGACGTGTGTGTTTTTAAAAATGACGTGTGTGTTTAAAAATGACGTGTGTGTTTAAAAATGACGTGTGTGTTTTTAAAAATGACGTGTATGTTAAAAACGACGTGTGCGTTAAAAAATGACGTGTGTGTTTTTAAAAATGGCGTGTGTGTGGTCGAATGATAATTTCGTGTGTGTAAAAAGAAAAAAACGCGTGAATTAACTTATTTACGCCTGTGGGGGCGCTGTATTACGAGGCGCGGAATGTAAATTTATTTTTTGTGTATCCTCGGGGGCGGAGCTACGTCACGGATGTTCTACGTTGCTAAGACGCGCACCACTGTACCACGTATTTCTATGGGCTTTGTGCGCGCTGCTGTGGAACACCGGTGGAGCCGGTGAAAACTCGAGAAAACAACACAAACTCAACTTTGAAGTAATCCTGAACAACCAAATTCATATATGTTACACACGTAGGGCTAATCTTGTTACATTGTTCAGGGGACTCTCAACAACCATCGCAAAGTACCGTTTTCTGCGAGTTTTTGGTCTTTGTTTTCACCGCGAGGGTTGCCAGGCGGTAGAAAATGCCCGGATGTCCGCCCCCCGAGGATACTAGATGAAAACGTACAAATAATTCAAAATTACGTATGTATTTACGAGGCGCGGAATGTAAATTTATTATTTTGTGTATACTAGAAGAAAACGTGCTAATAATTCAAAATTACGTACGTATTGGAGGCCGTGGCGTGTGTGTTTTAAAATGATGTGTGCATTTTAAAAAAACGGCGTGACTGTGCGTTTTAATGGTATGTGCTTTAAAAAATCATGTGTGTATGGAGTGGCGTGGGTGTTTTAAAAAACGTGTATTTTAAAAATGATGTGTGAGTTTTTAAAAATGGCGTGTGTTTAAAAATGACGTGCGTGTTTAAAAATGACGCGTGTTTAAAAACGACGTGCGTGTTAAAAAATGATGTGTGTGTTTTTAAAAATGCCGTGTGTTTAAAAATGACGTGTGTGTTTTAAAATGACGTGTGTGTTTTTAAAAATGACGTGTGTGTTAAAAACGACGTGTGTGTTTAAAAATGACGTGTGTGTTTTTAAAAATGACGTGTGTGTTTAAAAATGATGTGTGTGTTTTAAAATGACGTGTGTGTTTTTAAAAATGACGTGTGTGTTAAAAACAACGTGTGTTTAAAAATGACGTGTGTGTTTTTTAAAATGGCGTGTGTGAGGTCGAATGAAAATTACGTGTGTAAAAAGAAAAAAAACGCGTGCATTAACTTATTTACGCCTGTGGGGGCGCTGTTTTGAATGATTTTTTTTTCGTGTGTGAGTGCAAAAAAACGCGTGCGTTAACCTTATTACGCCTGTGGGGGCGCAATTTGAGAGATTTATTTCATGTGTGTGTTAAAAAAATCGCGTGCATTAACCTATTCACGCCTGTGGAGGCGTCGTCTCAAGTGGTAGCCATTTTTGTTTGTGGATTTCTATAACGTCAATAAGATACGTAAAAAGGAACTTGTCCAGCACGAGCGTTTTATTCATTTTGCCCTATAAACTTACCGACACTGTGTATACCTCAGAGACCTGGTGATTTATTCGTGTGGTTGGTTGCTAAAGACAATGCGTGGACGTCTGGTACAATGGGGCAGAACAAAGTACTCATACTGGTCTCATAGGCGCTGGGAGGTAGGGAAGCGTTCACACCATGACACCGAAATTGTCCGAAAATAACACGATTTTCAAAATTGTATTTCGATCCATTTCACACAACTCAAGCATGATATCGGTAGAAACAATCGATCGACTGTTATTATATGAGTGGTAGGCAAATGTACCGACGACGCACAGTCACGCCGTTTTTTTAAAAATGCACACATCATTTTAAAACACACACGCCACGGCCTCCAATACGTACGTAATTTTGAATTATTAGTACGTTTTCTTCTAGTATACACAAAATAATAAATTTACATTCCGCGCCTCGTATTACGTACCCGTTATGTGTTCTATTTATCATTGTACATTAGAAAGTATGTTATTATCCAGCCAGTCAACATCGTCTGTTTATTGCTCACTGTGAATAATCTTTTCTTTTTATCCAAACATATTACTAAATGTACAACGTCACAAGTATAACTAATTTGTTGAAAATGGAAAAAAAAAACAATATCATAAATTGCTGGACACAAATCTCATAGAGGAAATTTACAAATCCGAAAAAAACAATACAAATGTCTGACAACAACCCAGTAAAATTTCATTTCTTTCATTATAATAATGTAGTGTGACGAATGACTTCTGATCAGTGAAACTATCATTTTTGGTGAAAGTATTTGTTTTTAAGTAAACTCATTGCACATAATGTTGGGAAACAATCTCCATGACCTAACGACACACCAAGTCATCAAAGTAAAATGCTGTTAAGGTTTGTCTATATTTGTGCTTTTCAAGTTTTCAAAGAATCAATGCTATTGATACAGCCTGTTTATATGGAAATGACGATTGTGTTCAGCAATCCCTTGCACAATACAGAAGTTGGATGGAAACCGGAAATAATACGTAAGTATAGACAGTGTATGTACAATACCCGATGAAAATATCGACAATGTTCACGACACATCAACCACCTGTCTTCATTGCATAAACAATCCATGACACATAAACATTTATTTTTACTGTAGTAATCCATGACATGTCACTCACTTGTTTGTTTCCACTATATAAACCAGAGTTAAGACAACCCATAGCACAAAGTGGTCCGAATTTAATAATTTTAAATTTTAATATAAGTGTAATACAAAATGGATCAATCATGTAAAATTGACATATAAATTAATTCATGAACAGCACCTCGTTTATAGTACAGTGACATATTAAGTTAGTAATCATAATCAATGGATAGGATGGTGTATTGTATAATATTATGCTACATTTGATTACAGTATCAGAGACGAGGTTCGGTCAACTGTTTATTGTACATCTATAAAACACGGGGATGTTGAAGAATGGGAATTTGCATACAACAAGGCTATTGAGAGATTTGCGCCAGTAACTGAGGCCAACAGGCTTCGGTCAGCAATGGGATGCACGGAGAAAGCGTGGTTATTAGAACGGTGAGTAGTGAAACAAGAAAACAGTCTGTGATACATCTGATACATACTGCATAATACATTCCATGGTATATGAATGATGCAGACCACACATTGCATTTCTACAGTATATGTATACATATGACACATCACATTTCTATCTATGATACAGACACAGTCACTTGGGGGCTGAAAATTAATTACATACTAATTTAAA